GGCTCGAGCCGTAACCTTTGTCGTCCTTGATCCGACCGTCTAGGTACGCTGATGGGACCATTGGACCGATCAGCTTTCCCGGGAAAACCTCAGATTCTCCCGTCCCGTCTTCCTAACACAGAATCACGAGTGAAATTTCAGCAACGGCCCTTTATTTAACCATTGATTCGCATTAGAATCTTCCAATTAAGCTAAAAATGGAAACAGTTTGAGATCGTCTCTTCAGCTTCAATTCAAATGACCAATCAAAATCGAGTAAAACAATGCCGAAAACATCAAGAAGAGTTTTGACTTACCTGTGTTTCCAAGCCCTCGAAGCTGTTAACAAACAACCAATCGGCTTCTTCGAGATTGGGGAACTGATCCATGAGAACGGCCAAATGCCCTGGATGGCTCAGCCGGTGCTTCGTAACAAACGACGGCAAGTCCGAGAAGTTCAACGGCGGCAGACCTCGGATCCGAAACGGCGCCGTTTCAGGATCCACCGGAATAGGAAGCTGCCCACCGTGAATCTGGGCCATGACGGAGCACATCGTAATGTTGTTGGTGAAGAACGCGGCGGCCAAAACGCCGTTCTGCTTCGCAACGTCGAGCCCCCACGGGAGAAACGAGTCGTAGACGACGCAACTCACCGGCGACTCGGTGTCTCGGTGTCTCTCGATGAGCTGAGTCAGGGTCTTCGACCCGTTGGTCCTGAACGCCTCGGTGTAGAGGTCGAGGTCGAAGCCGGCCTGGGAGAGGCCGCCTTCGTCGAATCCGTCGGAGATGGGTTCGACGGAGACGGCGGCGTCGGAGACGGAGGAGACTGTGTAAACGGCGGCGGCGAGAGTGGCCTTTACTCCTTTGGAGGCCACGCGTTTGGCGAATTGGAGCATAGGGTTTATGTGGCCTTGAAGTGGGTAAGGCATCACCACCACGTGAGCTCTGGGAATCCGCTTCGTCTCCGCCATTGTTATCTCTTCCCTGCAGCTTTCGTTCTTCGCCTGAGATGGGTTGTGTGATAAAACGGAGGAGTTTCTAAGTCACGTCGGCAATAATTGAATCGGGAAATTGCATTTTATAACGTATTGCCGATTATTCCACCAACCAAACTCCAAAAGCCGAAGTCTAATATTAATAGACTACAAAATATTCCATTTTTCCCTGCCAATTTTTTCACGTTTCCGTTTGGTGAACCTACCAAAAATCATTGGACCCACCAAAAATATCAGTCGAATTTCGTCGATAGATTAGGAAGAATAGGGTAAATTTAACAATTGGTGGTAAATTCTGTTCTTCGTAAACTTGAGAACATTCAGTACAAATACCACCAAATCTCAGACGGTTCATTTCTCAGTCCCACCCAAAGTCCGAACGAATTCCTCAATGCGGAGATCAGAGCTTCCGCCTTCACTCATGGCTTTCTTGGCCAACTCTTTCCATTCCATGGAGCTCTCTCTAATCTTAACGCTGCTCTCTCCTTCCATCACTCCCTTCAAGCACCTCACGATCTCCTCTCTCTTCACGACGCCTTCGACATCCTCCTTTGCCCTGTACCCGACCTTCCACACTTGCTCGATGAATTTGGCATCACACTGCTGATCACTCCATTGCGGCATTCCCACCATCGGCACCCCGAGGCTGAGCCCTTCCAGCGTCGAATTCCACCCGCAATGCGTGAGAAAGCACCCGACCGCGTCGTGAGCCAGAACCTCCAGCTGGTTGCACCATGAGACCATCAAAGCTCTGTCTTTGACCGATTCCACAAACCCATCTGGCAATTTCTCGATCTGGGCATCCTTTATCACCCAGAGGATGTAAAAGTTCGACTCTTTTAGCCCGAAAGCTATCTCGCGGAGCTGTTTATCGGTGACGTTGGCAAAGGAGCCGAAGGATACGAATGCCACAGACTGAGACGGCTTGCTTTCGAGCCAATCCATGCATTCTTTGGACAGAGGTTTCCACAAGCTTGCGCCATACCCTTTGTCGCCCTTGATCCGGCCGTCGAGGTATGCTGACGGAATCATCGGTCCGATCAGCTTTGCCCGGATTGCCTCCGAGTCTCCACTTTCGTCATCCTTTACGCAATTCACACAGAGCCACACTTAGAACTTGAATATATAGCTACAAATACAGTGGGTTGTGAAAGTTTGCATAATGCCCCGTGAGAGTGAGGAGATTTCTATTGAATTTGACAGGGATGTGTGTACAAAAAATACGGGCGTGTGAAAATATAAATCCGAATGAAACCAAACTAAATCTATTTTGGTTCAATTTCTTTCAAATATAATCATCCGAAACCGACTAATTTCAATTAGAAAAAAGAAAAATTCCTATAGAAAATGAACATTATTCTATGGATTAAACCGAAAGAAATATGGTTTTAGTTTCGTGCATTTTGACAAACAAAAACAGAATGGAAACCGAAGAAACGAGACGTAATTCAAGCTAACTATGATTTGTAAATTAAAGGGAAAACATATTCAGAGTTGTTAAAGTTGGGACCTTACCTGTGTTTCTAAGCCTTGGAAGCTATTGACGAACAGCCAATCCGCATTCTCATGGTTGGTGAACTGACCCAGAAGCATCTGCCGGTGCGCCGGGTGGCTCAGCCGGTGCCGAGTCACGAACGACGGCAGATCGTCGACGTTAAGCGGCGGCAACCCGCGGATCCGAAACGGCGCCGCATTTGGGTCGACCGGAAGGGGAAATTCGCCGCTCGAAAACCTAGACAGTACGGAGCAGACGGTGAGGTTGTTGGTGAAGAACGCCGCCGCCGAAACTCCAGTGCCTCTCGCGACGTCGAGTCCCCATGGAAGGAACGAGTCGTAGACGAGACAATCGACGGGAGAATCGGTGGATTTGAATTTCTCGATCACGCGGGTTAGGGTTTCGGAGCCGTGCTGCTTGAAGGACTCGCAGTGGAGCTCGACACTGAAGGAGGGATCGGCTATTCTGCAGAATTCGAAGCCGTCGGAGATCGGCTCGACGGCGAGGGACGCGGCGGAGATGGAGGAGACAGTGTAGGAGGTGGTGGCGACGGTAGCTCTGACGCCTTTGGAGGCCAAGCGTTTGGCGAATTGAATCATGGGATTAAGATGGCCTTGGACTGGGTACGGCATCACCACCACGTGGCCTCTGTGCTTGTTCTCAGCTTCCGCCATTGTTGCTCCTCGACCTGAGCTCGCCTTTGCTTCTGGGTTTGAAGTGTGACGACTCGAGCTGAGAAATGTTGAATAAATAGATACTAAAACACGTGTCATGGATAAGTCGTTGAAAGAAATGAAAAAAAAAATTTATTTTAGCTCTTACATTTTTTAAAAGTTTAACGGTAAACTGTACTGCTTGTGCTATACCCAATCTTATCATTACCACAATGTATAATGTTTTTGAGTTTTCTTTTACTAACACCAGATAATATTGTTCCGACCGTGTTAGCTATTAATTGGACATGAATATGTTAGATTTTAGGATATAAATCACATGGCATTTAAATTTTAGTTTTTATTAATCGTTCAATATATTTTCAATCTGCACAGATCCAGAAATTAAAAAAAAATTGGTGGTGGATACGTGAATAAAATAAATTTAAGTTTCTAATTTCCAGTCGAGTTTTACAATCGTTAAAGCTTATGGAGGGAGGGAGGCTTTGGTCCATTCCTTTAGGATTTTTGTGGGGGCGATGTGTGTCTGTCGACTGTCGTGGGATTTTGGCGCCACATTGTTCACGTTCCGGTTAGGTGAGCAACAACCCATCGCACACGAGGATAATATTGTCTTTTCACCATCAACCGGGCCGAGATCCTTTTATTGGGCCCTGTTTGAGCTTCAAAGCCTCGTATATCGGCCCAAAATGTCTTATTACTCCACGTGTCCGCCGTGTGTCAGGGAAATCTCGGATGACAAATGGATGAGATTATCTCAATTTAACGTCCATTGCAAATGATTGAAAAATTGATTAATTTAATGGCAAGTTTATACAATCCACCAAAATACGATAATTATAATCGTATTTCTCTAGAAGCGATTTATAATTTTTTGACTAGAAAGATCAAAATACATTCATTTTAATTTTTTTAAATTATCACTATTTTCTATAATATAAACCAAATCACAATCAAAACAATTATCAGCAAAGTCATTTTTGAATTGTATCATTTTTGAATTATCAGATAATCATTGCAAGGAATTCGTGGGTCAAAAAAATGTTTTGGAGCACGAATCATGAAGCAATTAATATAGAATAAAAACATATAATTTTGTTGAATAATGTAATAATACATGCAAAAGGAAGATATACAAATGGACCAACCTCGAGGGCGAGGGGGTGAAATAAATAGCGTGGAAGGAAGAAAAAAAATTACCCCAAGAATTTTACAGAGGCATATAAAGAGAGAGAGAACTAGAAATGCTTTTTCTTATGCGCTTTCAACTGTAGTTTATACCATCTCTTCTTCATTCTTACCGACTTTTCACACGCGCCTCCTGTTTTCCTGTTCCTGTTCCGTCTGCTGCTCTCTTCTTCTTCTTCCTCTTCCTCCTCCTCCCTTGCCGCTGTCTTCTCCAATGAGTTCCTTCCGCTCTTGTTCTTGCTCGAGCTCCGCTTCATTGGAGCTGCTATCGTGTAAGCTGCATGAATTTCGTTTCTTTGTTTCAAGAGCTCCTCTATCTGTAAGAAGAAGAAAGAAAAAAACCAAACTGGGTCATAGAGTTTGGTCGGATTTGAATCAAACAAATGTGTTAAGTGTGCTGTGTATAATATATAACATAACATCCGAGATTGTGTTTTTTCTCACATGGGATCTGTCTACTTTTGTTAAGCAGATGAGTTAACAAACTGAAATGTTTCAAAAGTGAAGACTTACGGATTGCATCTCTTGGGCATATCTACTTGTCATCTCTGAGAATTGGGAAAGTACTTCCCTGTACTCCGTCTCAAACTTCGCCAGTTCTGCCCTTTTTGTTAGAATCTCGGCTTCTATGGACCTAAGATCTTCCTTTTCTTGCGTGAAATGGGCAGCGCATACTACTTTTATCGTGTAGTTCACGCTTTTGAAAAAATTGTCACCTGAAAAAGGAAAAATCATGCCAGGCCCCCCCATCAGATCAGATCATCTCAAAAAAAAGAAACCAAATGATTCTGCATCTGGACTAGACGCTGGGAAAAAAAACTGACCATAGATTGCAAAGACATGAGTACCAGCCTCCAGTTCAGTAACTTCACAAGGCTGAAATCCATCAAGTTTCTTGAAAAAGGCTGATTCTGGATCCTTTGCTTGAGCCATCTAAACCCAGAGAATCAATTCATGTTGGGCAAAAGAATAAGAGAAGGGCAAAATATTCATGATGGTAATTATATTTCCAATATAGCGGGCTTACCGAATTGACAGTTTGATCCAACCGATAGACAGGGAAACCAAGAAAGTACATTCCGGCAGTTGTTAACTTGCCTGTTTTTCTGCTGTCCTCCTACAAGCAGCAGATAGAGTCACTTAGATTCCCTCATCTGAAAAACAAAAGACAGAAGCCTCTTTTTCTCTCTGGTTAATCAAACAATACCTGCAATGCTAAGCTCAGTCCAATGTTGTGGTCTTGATCAAAATACAGTAACTGCATACAGGGGAATGCAGACATATTTATTTATCAATATCTCAATATGTCACTTAAACAAGCAAAGGTTCTATCATCAGAACCAACCTTGAACTTGCTTTTGTTAGATGATTCCACACGGCAGACTAAACCAGACCTTGCCTCCTCTTCGGCTATAGTGACAGAATAAAAGTGAGCACATTGCTTTTCAACCTGTAACAGATGTTTGTGTATACGAGAATAGATTATAGTTAACTACCACTGCACCGGTAAACAAAGTAATAGACAGGCAATGACTTCAGTACCTCACCTTCCTAGACATGGCTTGCCCAAGTATAAGAGGAACGACCGAGACCCTTCCATTAAGCGCCTCCTCCAAGACAGTGGCAGATACTGTGGTTTTAATCGGCACACCGAGTTTACTATTTCATGGACATTTTGAGAATAAGTTCCCAACTTGCATCCATCAGATGATTTCAAAGGTTACAGGAAATGAACAGAATAACGGGTAGGGCAAACCAACCTAAACAGAGCTGCGAACACAGTGTTCACAGCCCCTAGACTTGAAAGATCTAGTTCCAGCTCTTTGCTTTCTGCATCAACAGCCTGGAAAAAAAACAAGTAAAATTGGGCAATAAGCAATGAAGAATTCAAACAATATTAGCAGCCGAAACAAATTTGGACCATGCCACGAAACATTAAAATGTCTCCATCAAACAATATCAACATCCGGAAGCGGAAACTATAAATCCTTGTCGGGCGCAAAGCTAATCCAGAGAGCCTAACACAGAGCAAGCATATCTCACCTCAAAACCAGCTGCATCATACTGGCGACGTTTTTCTGGATGAGACAAGATATTGTAGGAAAAGGTGACTTCCTTAAACATGTCAGCAGCGACTGGGTCATTCGCGTTCTTATCAGGATGATACCTGAAATACCAAACATTCATGAGGAGCAGTGGCAAAACAAAGACACAGCTTATGATGGAATTCTTCAGAGAAAGTTTTCATCTTTCATCTCGAAAGAGAAATCGCTTTAGACCGCCACCTCTCCTTAGTCCTTACAGATTACAGATCAGCAAGCTTCAATCAAGAGTATGGAAAACTCGTCTACCAGACTTATTCTTGTCAAATTCTCATGATAGATACGCTTGCTACAGGCAAATTCTCGCCAGGAACGCCATCATAAATTGGTTGAATCTACTCGATAGACTTTGCACTTGAGACTGAACTAACCAACCAAAATACAGGAAAAGCCTCGACCTCTGAAATATTACCCCACGGGAATGGCAAACAACAGAATTTGTCGAGATTAAATGGGTCTATCAACACAAACACAGGGTTGGCATTGCAAAGGATCAAGCAAATGAGATACCACAGGTACGCAGAATCAAAAGCTTACTTGAGAGCCATTTTCCTGTAGGCGCTCTTGATTTCCTGATCCGTACAGTTCCTGGAGAGGCCAAGAACATCGTAGGGGTCACGACGGAGCTGCTTCTCCCCACCTTTCTTCTCCGACTTGGATCTGCGAGCGGGCATTTTCTCTTAAAGCCCTCCGTCTTGAAACCCTAGAAAACCTGCTTCACTGAAAGGGTCTCCGAATACTCAGCAGCAAGGGAACCGGGAGGATATTCCTCTGGATCCTTTTTTTTTCAAAAATGCAAACTTTCCCGGAGAATTCCCAACTGGAGAAAAGTGAATGGAGCAACCCCGAAACCCTAGATGGTCCCGGACGAGAACGACGCAACCAGACCTCTCTGCCCGAGGGAAAGACCAGAGAGAGAGAAGGAGAGAAGTGGAGATTGAGATTTTGGAGGGGAAATTAGGTGAAAGAAATAGTTTCTCTTCGCAGTTAATTTCTTGAAAATAGAGTCAATAGACATTCAAAACTCTGATTGTCTCAGATACAGTGCACCGCGGTGCGTAGTGCGCACACCTCGGAAGGATGGCGACTGGGGTTTCGGGCCGCAGGTTGTTTCTTGTTTTGTACTTTTTGTGGGGTGCGTACTGCGCACATGCGCAAGACGGCAAATGCTGGCGTAGATTTCAAACTTGCGCATTTGAAATGTAGACATCAGTCGTGACAGTGAGGTGGACATAGGGCCTCGGAGGTTAAAAGAGAAAATTAAAAAGACAGGAAAAACTATGATTATGTTTAATATGAATCATGATCTGTCAAATATTAGACTAATCTTAAGTCTTACGTAATTCTCATTAAAAAAAAAATCTCTAGATAACAACATAATACCCTTTTTATATAACGTGGAGAATCACATTAATGTATATAAGATAGTCAAGACAACAATTTAGGAAGTCAATTAGGATCTGTAATTAGGATTTGATTTATTTGGAAGATGATAAAGCAAATCAAAAGTTTTGCTAAGAAGACAATAAATTAGGAATATAATATCCACAGCGACCCGTGTTTAGCGGTGAATGTTTGATGGCTTTCTTAAAAGTGCGAGTAAAAATCTGAAAGGGAAAAAAAAGGACAGATTACGAAGGTCACGATTGTCTGTGAAACTATTAAAAACCATATGGCAAAAAAATACTTACGATATAATTAGGTGTAAAGTCTACATTTGTATTATGGATTGCGGTGCTGCTGCACTGCATACACACCTTTTCAGGAATATTTTAAGGGAATAAAATGTTTACTATCCAAGACGGTCGACAATTGATGGATAATTATGAATTTAACAGAAAACACAAATTTCCATGATTCAAGCGTGTGATTATATAGAGTGACAACCAATCAGAGGGTCATCATCATGTCTCGCAAGTAAATATTCACCAAATCCTTGGTTGGATTGGCAAGAAGCTAGCTTTTAAACATTTGAACCACTAAATTGATACCCAAGAAAAAGAAAATATTGGGATAGCTTGAGACATAATATTGCTATAAATAAAACACGGTGACACACACATACACATATATACATACATACATATAAGAGAGTTGAGATACTGGAGATGGAAATACGTGGGAGTGTCTGAAACATCGAGATTAGGGGGCCATGAAAATGACTGAGGACCCAAAACACTCTGTTCCACCGAAACAGAGACGACGACAAAACCCGCGTCTCTGCTGTTACAAATACAGACGGGAGAGAAGAGAGGGGCTTTTGGTCTTCGATTTCACCCATTCCATTCATAAGATTTCTCCTCGATATGACCCCCCCCCCCCC